TGAAGGTAAGAATCTCGAACATTCTGTGGTGTTGATAAATTATAAGGTGCCTAGCATAAACCATTTTAATATCGTTCTCTATAGTTTTCCTATTTCTAATGTATCTTCTATCACAAAATTCTTTTATTTGACCCAAAAAATAACTGGCCTTTATACCATCATGTTTGCCTTGAATTTTAGCTGTAAATAAATCAGTTTCTAGTAGTAATAAAGAGTCAAGTCAAGTGCAGAGTGAAGACAGATGGAAATCTAGTAGAATAAATGATGCAAAAATACCCACACTGCACACTATTTGCAACTGCCTACCAGCAGCAGATAATCTAGACCAAAAATCCATTGTATTTCGATTTCAAATACTTACACTTTGTCTACCAATACTTACCAATATGAAGAGCCCATTCACCACTATTGGTTCCTCTTATGACTGGAATATCTAATACGTTTCCTTTAGTCCAACTATTCATAGGTAAATCTGGAACAGTGTTGTGGTATGTGTCTACAACGGGGTTCCATTCTGTTCTATCCAACGCGACCTACAAAAGAGTGAAGCGACTGATAAATCAAGACAAAGGCCGATCTGAATCCAGATTTATGAAATGCAGTTGTTTTGGAAGTCCAAATTGTAATATTCGGAACTACAAAATGTTTTATGATCTCCACCTTTCATAGTGATAGTTTTCAATATTTCACCTTGAATTACTACTCCATTTTGCTTTCTATAAGTGAAACATATGTTCGATGGGAGCGAGCAAAGCCATATAATGGGGAGCGAGTATGGAACACAGAATAGTAAAAGAGAGCTCACAACACCAGGCATTTAAGAATTCAAAGATGAGATGAATTTGAAAGTGAGTAGGAATAAGAAGGTATCGGGGGTTGGGGGCTGTGAGTAGTGGCTGGGCTAAGTCGAATCTAAATTTCACCCCGTTGCGTTTTGGTCAGATACCTTAATAGAGGTTTGACTGATCGTCTTAGCATCCTTGGTTCTTAAGCAATCTACGATTTCTTGTGTAGTAGCCTTAATACATCCTAATTTAATACCAAATGCTCTAGCTCTATCTCGAGGTCTATAAATATCAGTTTTCATTGATAAAGCCCAGTTAGTTAAACCTACACCACTATCACATATTGCTGCATGGAATAAACCTGCAATATAGAACCATAACGATGACCGTGAAATGCCTCTTAAGAGCTTCATATCTTCTTTTGTCGGTTGTGCGAATTCAGAATGAACTACCCTATTTAAATTCATCTATTCAAGGTGCTATTTTCTGGAAAGAAATTCACCTCCTGTTTGACCATCTTGTCAATCATATAACTTCTCATATTCTAAAAACATATTATTGGTCTATCCTTATCACCAGGAAAATCATACCGACCTTTGGATAATGGCGAAGTTAATAGTAATGAAATACTAGCAGCTCCAGCACTGAAACCAAATACAGTTACTCGACCAGCATCACCACCAAAATCACCAATACAATCCTGTACCCATTTTAGAGCAAGTAGTTGATCTAATAGACCAAAATTACCCGGAGCAGCCTGATCTTCAGTTGAAAGGAAACCTAACAGCAAGAGAAAAACGGTAAGATTTAATTTTACTTTATCGAACCTATTCTTAAACAAAGAAGCATGTTCGAAATACTATATGATCACAAATTTAGTTTTGTTCTGCCCTTTTTAAATTTGATCAACATTTCTTGATTTAACACGAGAATAGTGACGGCGAAATCATCCAACAGCTTGGCCCAACATATTAATTGGCCTAATTTCCCTCAAATGATGGTAATATGATCGATATAGAAAATGTTAAAAAATGTTAAGATTTACCCAGAGGACCAAGTCTGTAATTGAGAGTAACAACCACAACATCTTTCATAGCAAGTTGTTCACCATTACGATCCAAACCGGAACCACTAACAAATGCCCCACCATGAATATACACCATTACTGGTATTAAAGATGTATTGGTTTTCTGTAAAGTTATTCTGAGTAATGCTTATTGGCTATTAGAAAATACAAATACAAGCAGGTTATGGGCGCGGTTATAGCACAATTGATAATATTTTTATATTGCAGAACCTGATTCAGAAATACCTATCCAGGTATAAAGGTCGATTTTTCTGTTTATTTATTGATTTTTCTAAAGCATTTGATAGTATACAACATCATCTCCTAAGATATGTATTGTTAAAGAATAATATCAACCCGAAGATTTTTAAGGTAATTTCATCCATGTATGATCAATTAAAATCGTGTGTTCAAACAGATAAATTGTCCTTATCAGATTACTTTGATTGCACAGTTGGAACAAGACAAGGTTGTATGATCAGTCCAATATTATTTACCCTTTTTTTAAATGAATTACTAGAGATGTTAAATGATGACGAATGTAAGGGTATATATGTAAATGAAGATGTTCAGAATATTTCATCACTTTTGTACGCAGATGATATGACAGCAGTGGCAGACACTGTAGGTGATTGCAAAAACAAATAAATTGCATTAGTAAATTTTGTCAGAGATATGGAATGAATATTAATATAGCCAAAACCATCGCGAAAATCGATAGGGATCATCTTCATAATGACATTGACAAACAAAATAAAAATCAAAAGAATCTGTAAAGAATTGTAGCCTGTAGAGTGAGCACGAGTTGCACAATATAGCTAATAGAGTAAAACGTCAATTCAGACACGATACTTCGGTGAAAAATTATCCGATCATCATGAAAATCGATAGATCATCATGAAAATCAATAGGGATCATCTTCATAACGACATAGACATACAAAATAGAAATCAAAAGAATCTGTAAAGAATTGTAGCCTTTAGAGTGAGCACGAGTTGCACAATATAGCTAATAGAGTAAAACGTCAAGTCAGACACGATATTTCGGTGAAATATTATCCGATCATCACGAAAATCAATAGGGATCATCTTCATAATGACATTGACACACAAAATAAAAATCAAAAGAATCTGTAAATAATTGTAGCCTGTAGAGTGAGTACGAGTTGCACAATATAGCTAATAGAGAAAAACGTCAAGTCAGACACGATATTTCGGTGAAAAATTATCCGATCATCACGAATATCAATAGGGATCATCTTCATAATAACATTGACACACAAAATAAAAATCAAAAGAATCTGTAAAAAATTGTAGCCTGTAGAGTGAGCACGAGTTGCACAATATAGCTAATAGAGAAAAACGTCAAGTCAGACACGATATTTCGGTGAAAAATTATCCGATCATCACGAAAATCAATAGGGATCATCTTCATAATGACATTGACACACAAAATAAAAATCAAAAGAATCTATAAAAAATTGTAGCCTGTAGAGTGAGCACGAGTTGCACAATACAGCTAATAGAGAAAAACGTCAAGTCAGACACGATATTTCGGTGAAAAATTATCCGATCATCACGAAAATCAATAGGGATCATCTTCATAATGACATTGACCCACAAAATAAAATTCAAAAGAATCCATAAAGAACTGTAGCCTGTAGAGTGAGCACGAGCCAAATGTGAACGGACGGACCGACGGACCGACGGGGTGATTACAATATACGCCCATCTTACGTGTAGGCGTATAAAAATGGTACTTTCAAGGAGAGGCAATTGAAAGTGCTTCCGTGTATAAGTATTTGGGTCTAATGATAACTCCTAGACTTAAGTGAGGTAAAACTTGTGATCATTTAGCATTCCAGGGCGAAAAAGCCATGAATTTTTGGTCAACTTTTGTAATAAGAATAATGTAAGTGTAAAAGATTGTTTATATTTGTTTGACAGAATAAAACCTATATGGGGCTACACTAATTATGATATTCTTGAAAGAGTGCATATTAAGTTTTACAGAAAACTACTTGCTGTTATTACAACAACCAGTTGAGCACTTATCTATGGTGAATTCGGCAGACATCCTTTACACCTACTATTTAAGTTTAATGTAATTAAGTATTGGCTTCAAATTTTACAAATGCCATCATATAGATATCCAAAGGCTTGTTATGAAATGCAATATAATTTACACAATGCTGGAAGAGTTAATTGGGCAACCTATGTAAAGGAAATATTAGACAATACAGGCTAAAACTATGTTTGGGTACAACAAGGCCCAACTAATATAAAGTCTCAAGGCAAGACTATCTGATATCTGGCACCAAGATTGGCATAGCCAAATCGAATCAAATGGATAACTAGTATTGTATGAACAAATTAAATTACTCTGACATGCGAACAATATTTAAGTAGCATCAATAGTAAATGTTTCAGGAATACTTTGTCTCGATTTAGATGTGAATGTCATAAATTAGCGATTGAAACTGGACGCTGGAAAGCAATTGATAGAAATGATAGGAAATGTGAATTTTGTTACAAACACTCTATAGCAAGGTGATAGAAGATGAGATTCATTTTTTGTTATACTGTCCAAAGAAGTAAGCTAATTTTCAGTACAAATGATTATAGAATTCTTATGAATGATGCTAATGTTTAAATCTTGCTGAATTTATTTATAGAGCTTTAAGAATTAGGGAAAACTTTGTTAAATCTCAATTATGAAATTTACTAAATCTATATGTAAAAACTTGACTATGTATTTAAGTACTTATATTTATTTTTATTTTATATTTATATTTATATATGTTTAATCACATGTACTATGGGCTGTAGGCCTGCTACTGTATTATTAATAAAAAAAAATATAAAAAAGAAAATACAAAAATAGTATGCAAATTGGGCCAATTTAGTCAGGGTCACAAACATGATTCGTTTTAAGATAGTTTTTCATATGCCAACAAACTGACAGACACAGGACGAAGTTTTCACTGTTTACTGTTTTACTTTACATGTATTATCATTTTCACTTTATTGCCTCAGATTAACGCAGCGCTTATTTCTATTACATAAGTTCCAATATATATTAGTTATTAATTTGAGATAACTCATTGATATTTTTAATATTACCTACCCTTGGTGTATATACGTTTAAGTTGAGACAATCCTCCGACTGTGTATAGTTAAAGGTTCCAGGAATCCAGGAATCACTCCCGCTCTGCCAGCAAATATTTCCAGCTTTCTGTGCAGGTTTTACACCTGTCCATGGCTTTACTGACACTGATTTCATCCACCTTAAAGAATCTTGGCGAGAAAATACAGAAAATTAGTTAACATCTTAACTCAAAATTATGCTAAGCATTGTTAGGGAATGTCGAATTATGCCAAATTTCTTTATAATAGTATTTCCAATGGTATGACTTACCTGTAGGCGGAGTTCCATAAGGTATTCCTAAGAAAGTATCAATTGCCCATTCGTGACTGATATTGTTTCGGTTGCCCACTAACTTCCCATACTTGGTGGTAACATAGACATCTTCAGCAGCGATTATACCAAAGAATAGTAAAACGCAAAAATGATTTATAATTTGAGACATTTGCGATGTCGGGTGTAATCGAATGATTGTGTCAAGGTATTTGATAAAGATAAGCACGTGTATTATCTTTAAACGATAATGTTATAATGGTCATGTCATTCAAAGTATTGAGCTGATATCGTAGTGACACAGATATCATATTACCATATTACCATAACTATAACTACACAGTGGTGTTTTGCATAACAAATGTATCAGACACGAGAACAAATACTACTTGTAAAACTTCAGTAGAACGCAGATTGAAATTGATCAGTTATCTGAAGATCGCACGACGTAATACTCTTAACAACATGTCTCAGGCTCTGTTTTAATTTTTAGATATCGTTCTACAAATGATATTAAAACACTGTCTATTGTAACGGAGAAAATATTTTTGCGTGGAAAATCGATATACCTTGGGTGTTCTTCGTCACAAGGAACATCGGATGCAACTGAATTGTGTTTTTCTTAATTAGGATGTACTCATTTTTTCTCTCTAACGATATGTGACATGGGTGGTTTTGTTATAAAAATTCAAATCATTAAATTTAGATACATTTTGAAAAAATCTAAATTTTCTGGTTTTATCTCTGAATTATATTCCTTAGTGTGAAGCTGATTGACTGGTGTTAAGAGTGTTATACAGCATTGTGGACAGATCTGTTGGTTTAAACTTTGCACACCTCTCCAGTGAGCCAGACAACAATTTAATCTCATTACATAATTTTCTAACCCTCAAAATATATATATTTTTTTGCAAAATTTATGCATACAAATTTAAGAAATACCCCCATTTAAAGCTGTGAATTCGCAGAATATAAAACAGTTGGATTTTTTCTATCTTTATTAGAACTCAAATTAAAAATAATTTCTAATATTTGTGAATTGTATCTCTTTTAAACCTTAATTAGCGAACATGTAAATTTGAACTTTCTTTCAACAAAATATGGAAACCCAAACAGTTGAATAATTGAGAGGTTAATCTGATGCAGTATAAATAAATTTTGTTTTACAAACTGAGAATATTGAGTGTAATTACATAACTGATTTATTTATCAGCTACCCGAAAGTTTTAATCTCTTGTTCAAAAATTGTAGGCTTAAAAGCACCGGAGTTGGAAGCTAACAGACGAGAAGTTTCAAAAGGTTCGAAATCCAAGGGATAAGGTCTCGTTGCCACGCTCGGAGCTGTTCACAGCTCTAGTTTCTTTTCTCTATTGTTCCCAAAACTTAATATTCGTAATGAAAACAAGTTGAGTGATGTCAGTATATTTTGCAATTACTGCTATGTGTTATGTTCAATAAAAAAAAAACGGAACAAATTTTGAACCCTTTTGGACGCAGTGGCGGCGCCAGCCTCCCGAAACTGGGGGCAGCCAGTAACCATAATGGGACAACTTACTGTCGAGGCTGAGTTTGCAAGGGAAGGCAAAAATTGAATTGAATTGGTGCATTCTGACATGTATTTTGGGGCAAAAACATTAAATTCGGAGGTGCACAATTTTTTAAGGGGACAAATGCCCATCCCTGTGAATTGAGCTACCCCATAATTGTCCCCTGTACCCCCACTGGCGCCGCCACTCTAGGCGAAGAACGATATCCCAACCCTTACCACCTGATTCAATAAAACTAATTAGTATACAGGGATGATTATTGATCTTATTAATCGTTAGGATTTTCTTATTTGCCCTTTGTTTAGATCATTTTACTGGAACGTGTGCTCCTTATTTGGCAATATGGACCATTGTTCATTCGAACAGAGAAAAGCGTTTTATTTACGTCCAATGATTACAGTTTGGTCTGTACCCTGTTTTGCTTTTAAAGCTGGTATAGCAATACTCCATAATTTAGTCGCCTCATATCTAAAGTTGATATGGTTAGTAGGTGTACTGGAGTCGAGTAAAAAATAGGATTGATTATTAACTGATGTAAAAGGTTGCCATGTTGATCCATAAACTGGTTGAGGTGTGGGATTACTGAAAAATATGTATAAACTACATACCCTCGGGTTTGAAGGAATTCAACGGTTATCAAATCAAATCAATATTCGACACAAGGGATCGATATCGGGATTGATAGTGTAGTTATAATATGCTTGCTAAGCGATCTACAATATTATTGGAAAGGGTGACATTTCTACAACTAAACCTGACTATAGTAAATATATATCCATACAAATAAATGTAATAGTTACTGATATTTAGCGAAATTTGTCCACAAATTCATCATAGTTAAACTCATCATTAAATCTATATCAGATCCTTTATTAGGAAATGGATCACCAAAGACAAACGGCAATTCAGTTCCATGTGATGCTCCTGTAAAATAAAATAGACTATACATGGCACGAAAGATACGTGATTTGCATTATCTAGAGCATCTAGAAACACACCCGGAAACGGTTCGCGTAATTCGTCGGCTTGATTATACAAGTTAAAGTAGAAATAGGACAATTTAAGTTCGAGACTGTCATTGACTAGATTTTGAAGATGACAGCGTCCAAAACATTGCGTTTACCACGATTACAGGCACTGAAAGTTATACTGTTATCTTGTCAAAGCAACTTTGATAGGAATGGTGGAACTTATTTCAGCTTTAACACGATAGTTTCCTAATATAACGTACCTTCCCATTTAGGTAGAGTATTTTTAGTTACATAACTAAACACATATAAATAGTTTTTATTTTTACCACCGAGTTTAGCATCTAATTGGGTTTCTAGTACAATTGGTGCCGTGAAAATATTGTCACTCAGAAACTGAAAACATACAAATTTAGACTTTCCAAAGGAGAGCTATCTGAGAAGACAACCATAATACTGGACCTAATCATTTACAATGTACACACCACCTGGGGTCAGAAGTTTGACGGAAAAAAAATCGAGATTGTTTTTTAGTAAATAACATTATATAATATGTGTATAAATATCAATACTTTTCCAATATAGAACTTTGGTTTAATATCGTTTGCGAAATATAAATATATCTTTGTCAGGGTTTAGTACTGATGAAGTTTTAAATCTTGATCTACCGAGGTTACAAATCATTTAAATAAATATTTTTAAATAAAGACAAATATTCACCTGAAGGTAAGAATCTCGAACATTCTGTGGTGTTGATAAATTATAAGGTGTAGCATAAACCATTTTAATATCGTTCTCTATAGTTTTCCTATTTCTAATGTATCTTCTATCACAAAATTCTTTTATTTGACCCAAAAAATAACTGGCCTTTATACCATCATGTTTTCCTTGAATTTTAGCTGTAAAAATATTAGTTTCATAGTAATAAAGAGTCCGATCGCCCTTCTGCAAACTGTAAACTAATGCAACATTTTCCTCACTACCCACTGTTTGTCATTGACACTAACCTCCATCTTATATCGATTGTATTCCAGTTCCAAATGCTGACACTTTGTCTACCAATACTTACCAATACTGAGAGCCCATTCACCACTATTGGTTCCTCTTATGACTGGAATATCTAATACGTTTCCTTTAGTCCAACTGTTCATGGGTAAATCTGGAACAGTGTTGTGGTATGTGTCTACAACGGGGTTCCATTCTAATCTATCCAACGCGACCTACAAATGGTGAATTGTCTGATGTCATTCGACCCGACCAGATCTAACGAAGAATCAACTGATCTTATTCTCGAAAGAACTACAGTAAATGGATTTGATGATTAAGTAAAATTTAGTGATTTTAGTGATTGACCAATTAATAACAGGTACACTCTAAAAATATTTCGTTATCTTCCGAGAAAAAGACGCCCGAATAACCAAGCTGAGCTCACGGCATCAAGTATCCAAGAACTCACTGATAAGAAATTTCACAGTGTTACATGGGGAAAGAGGTGGTCGGAGAGGGTTCAAAGCCGAGCCTATTTTTTATGTTGTGTTTTGGTCAGATACCTTGATAGAGGTTTGACTGATGGTCTTGGCATCTTTGGTTCTTAAACAATCTATGATTTCTTGTGTAGTAGCCCTACTACATCCAAATTTAATACCAAATGCCCTAGCTCTATCTCGAGGTCTATAAATATCAGTGTCCATTGATAAAGCCCAGTTAGCTAAGCCTACACCACTATCACATATTGCTGCATGGAATAAACCTGCAATATAGAACTATAACGATGAAAAAAGGCGGAAGAGTTTCATGTCTTCTTGTGCGAATCCAGATTGAACCACCCTGCCTCAATCAGACAATAGACAACGACTTTTAGCAAAATCATCACTTGGTAGACTTTATTGTCTTTTGATAATATGCTTATCACTGTGACGTCCCGAAACTATTTGAGAAACGATATGGCACATCTTTTATGCAGTGACTCATCTCGATGAGAGGGGGCCCGTGAACTTAAGGGGAATACGTCTTTAAACATATGCTCTCCTGCATTCTGGGACCCTTCTGTCAGTCTTCTTACTGTATTTTCTTCTAGGTTGGGGCCCGTACACTTGTATCAACCCTTCCCTATGGTAGTTGAGCCACTGCTCGTATAACTGTTCCATGCATAAACTTCGAGATTTCTCTCCTTATAACTTTGAAAATCATACAGACCTTTGGACAATGGCGAAGTTAATAGTAATGAAATACTAGCAGCTCCAGCACTGCCACCAAATACAGTTACTCTATCAGCATCACCACCAAAATCACCAATACAATCCTGTACCCATTGTAGAGCGAGTAGTTGATCTAATAGACCAAAATTACCCGGAGCAGCCTGATCTTCAGTTGATAGGAAACCTATCAGCAAGATTAATCTTCACTCAATTATCTTTTTCAAACCTATTCTTAAACAAAAGGCATGTGCAAAAATATCTCGTCGCAAAGTGAATTTAGCTTTGCTCGTTTCAAATTAGATCAAAAAATTCTATCTTAATAGATCACGAGAATCGTGAAGAAGAAACCATTACCAATGACAATATATATTCATTATCTTACAAACAATTTTTCGAAAGGATTTACCCAGAGGACCGAGCCTATAGTTTAGAGTAACAACCACAACATCTTTCATAGCAAGTTGTTCACCATTACGCTCCAAACCGGAACCACTAACAAATGCCCCACCATGAATATACACCATTACTGGTATTAAAGATAAATTGATTTTCTGAAAACAAAAACACTCTCTCTGATGGATGTTTATTTGTGTTTTAATTCTCATATTATGCCTGAGAGAATAAAAAAAAATTAAGTTTGGAACTGTTTATTATATCATTATCGTTTTCACGTTAATGCCTCAGATTATTATACATTTAGTTCCAATCAATTTACAATAAACATTTCATGCCATCAATTTTGATAGTCACATAGATAATATGAGCTAATTCAATGTTTTTACCCACCCTCGGTCTATATACGTTTAAGTTGAGACAATCCTCAGACTGTGTAAAAGTGGTCGTTCTAGGAATCCATGAATCACTCCCGCTCTGCCAGCAGATATTTCCAGCATTCTGTGCAGACTTCACACCTGTCCATGGCTTTACTGGCACTGATTTCTTCCATCTTAAAGACCCTGAATTAGAAATTTAGAAAAAAGTAAATGACGAAACAAAAATTGTCAACGAATGCCGACTTATGCCAAATATAATTTTTAGTAGAAAAATATTTCATTGCTCTGTCGTCTGCTATAGTTAGCAAGAGTTAGTTATTCATCAACATCAAAAACAAGTTTAACATGATAGGGGCAATAAAATATTTTACAAACGTATTCCCAATTGACACGACTTACCTGTAGGCGGAGCTCCATAAGGTATTCCTAAGAAAGTATCAATTGCCCAATCGTGAGTGATATTGTATCGATTGCCTACTAACTTCCCATACTTGGTTGTAACATAGACATTTTCAGCAGCGATTATACCAAAGAATAGTAAAACGCAAAAATGATTTAAAATTCTAGACATTTGTAATGTTTAGGTGTTCGATATAATCGAAATAAATCGTGTCAAGGTATTTGATAAAGATAAGCTCATATAGTATCTATAAATGATATATTGTTTATGTCATTTCAAGGATGATTTGTACTAGTTTCGAGACGAGAACAGACAAGACAAGCCCTGTTAATTACAAAATCACATTACCTGTCATAACTATATAGTGGAGTTTTTGCATGACAAGTATACCACGCTAAGAATGTAACATTTTCATAGTTGTGCTGTAAATAACTGAATCTTCAACTTTCTACTGTCCATATTGGGAAGGAAGCCTGTTTCTCCCTGTATGCGTACATATTTAAAATAAAGATCCCTGGAACAATGGCTCAATTAAATATACTTCATAAAGCTCATGACAATTTTCAGTTTCCCACTAAACGAAAATACCTTGCCACAGGTTTTATAACTATTGCTAAGTAGACGCCAGTATTCTGCTATGAGGAATAATTGCTCTAAGGCTTTGTATATGAAGGAAATAGATTCCTAACACGAGCTCCAGACCACAGCCCTTCATAGTAGACCTGTGAGCCGCCGAAAATATATTGCTGCCACAAGTCGCCGCCGCTCTGCTTTTTATACGCTCACATGAAATCGGGGGCGAATATTGCCGTCACCCATGTCCGTCGGTCCATCCACAATTGCTCGTAAACACTCTAAAGGCACAATTCTTGACTGATTTTGATAAAACTTGGTATGGTTGTTTGTAATCACCTAAGGATAAACCCTATTGAAACTCGAAAAATGTTTAGTATTAGTTATTGCCCTTGTCCTCTAGAAGACTTTTGATGGAACTTTGTGTGAGTGTCACCCAAAGATGAAACCTTTTTTGAAATCAGAAATATCGAAAAATAATTAGGATGAGTATTATTCTTGAAAACGTGTTCAATTTTTAGAACGTAAACACTCTAGATGGCACAATTCTTGACGGATTTAGATGAAACTTGGTATGAGTGTTAGTAATCACCCAAGGATGAAGTCTATTGAAAATCAGATGATAAATAGTATGAGTTATTGTCCTTGTTCTTGAAAAAACTTTGAATTTTTTTTTTACACGTAAACACTTTAGAAGGCACAATTCTTGACGGATTTTGACGAAACTTGGTGGGCCATACTGATAATTATGACTATACTTTCAAATATTTTATTTAAAATCAAAGCTGCTAGTGGGCGTATATTACTTTATATCACGTTGTACGATAGTAAATTCGTTGATTAGTTATCATCAAT